GACCGATCGCACGCCTCTGTGTCCTCAGCTTTTACACGATTCGATTTCACGGCAGCTACACTACGCATCCTAGTGCCACTCCTCGGCTGGTCCTCGCGGCGCGTCCAGTGAGATCCGTTTGACAGGCAGTCCAGTGAGATCCTTAGGGTAGCTAGTCTAGACTCCCCCCTCGAAACTTGCTCCATGGGTCCGATGGAGGGCTCGAACCCATGACGACCGGCACTGTAGAGAAGCCGTTACGGCCTGACCTCGACGTGAGCACAGATCCGAATGTCACGTGGCGATAGAGGAGCCGACGACGACTGGGAACCGACGTGGACCCTGATAGACAGCATCAGAGAGGCCATCTACAGATCAGATGCGCATGGCGTGCTGAAGGCACTCGCCGGTCTGTTGCCTGAGCAAGCCGAGAAAGCGCTGACGACTGGAAACTGGGTATGGGGCTCTGCCATCCATTACGCCGCAGGTATGCATTCGCACCACTGCACACATGATGCGGGAGGCTCATGTCTATGTGCGCTTCTCAGAATATTGTTCGGATGTTAAAGTGATTGAGATCATGCTGGAGGACCGGCGCCATCTGCTCAACCTTAAAGGACTGGTACATATCGTGCTGGATAATTACAATCATTCTGGACACTAGCCGACCGTTGTCTTCATGCTGTGGCTGTAGGATGGCGACACGCCTCTCCAGTTGGCAGCACGACGAGGATCAGTTGGTGTGGTGGCGAAGTTCGTCGAGTGGGGCGGGGAAGAACTGCTGGAAGCTCGCGACAAAGCAAGGACGGGGGAATGCCGGCTGATGCATTGAACAGCAATTGCCTCTTTCATGCTGTGATTCAGGATGGTAGGACGCCCCTTCACGACGCAGCATGTCAGTAAGTCCTGCAAACGACGACCACAAGTGTACGAGTCTTCAATTTGCCTCTTTCCGCTCTCCTGCAGGGACTGGCAAGGCTGATGTAGTGTGTTTCATGTTGAGGGTGAACCCGCAGCTCTTGAGAATCAAGGATAACGTAGGCTGCACTGCACCTTACGAGCAGTGTGTCGATATTGTCCATCCTCGTGACTCTGACAGATTGGAGAGACGCCTCTGGATGAGGCCCTTGCGAAGAAACCCTTAGTCGTCGTACCGATTGTTGTCGCGGCTGGAGACCTGGCCATGGAGCTGCTCGAGCGAGGCGTGAAAGTGGAAGATGTAGCGGCTCAGGGTCTGAAGGAGGTGGTGCCCTTCGCGAAGGGATTCCTAAAGGACCACTCCGAGTCACTGGGCCTCGACTGCCTTCGCCTATGTGCCGTCTTTCGCAAGCTGATGAAATTGCGACTGAAGGACTCCCTCACAGAGTGAGATTGGATGACGAGGAGGAGACAAGAGGCGAATATCTGAACGTCTTCATGTCTATGTGTCATCTATGTGTCAGTGACTTTGAGAAGATCTCCAATTGGCAAGAAGTAAACAATGACAAAGACACACACAGCAGTCTTCACTTCTGCTTTGATTATCCAATCGCTTCAGGCTCTCACAGCCAACTTCTGCAGCGATATATCCCCATGGGTCTTCGAACAGTCGCTTGCAGGCAAAGAGAGAGAATGGTTTGCGGCGCTGGAGTCGGCAGAGCCCCTCTCTGTCGTCACTCAAGGTAAGCCGCACAAACGATGTCCCCTGTCTGCCTGTCAGGCCACTCATGTCTCCTTCCTTCCTGTCGGTTTGCTCATGGCTTTTCCTTCCCTCTGCTGCGAATGATTGCGACAGCCAACTGCACCTCTCTCGTCACAGACCATTGGAAGCAGGACTATAAAGGCTGGAGGGTCAAACTGTCACCCCGTGACGTCTTCATCACCCGCGTGGTGTCAATGCTGCTCATGTAAGAGGTGGCCTTGCACAACGATTGGGGCAGAGAGACACACGGCATGTGTGTGTGTTGTCAGGGTGGCCTTTGTGCTGCTGCACATCGAAGCAATCAAGGGAGACAGCGGCATGATGATGGCGTGGGTGTGGCCGTCGGTGTGGCTGTGGGGGGCAGTGCTGATCGGGAATGGCTTCATTGTCCTGAAGTTGTTTCAAGTAGCACAGACGAGAGCATGTATGATCAACAATGACATGTATCATCATTTTCTGTGCGTATGCAGGGCATCCGCTTGAAGGCAGGGTACTGGGCCGGCTCATGGTGCGCATCAGGCGTGCAGGTGGGGGGGGGGGG